TGAGAAGCACACGAGACACAAGTCGACCAAATGGCTATAATACGAAGTATAATATTTGTAAAGAATAGCGAAGCAAAAAGCAAGATTTATATCTCTTCAGTGTACGAAGGCATATATGTTTAAACCGACTACGGGTGTGCCAGACCTATTCATGATAAAAAAATAACACTGAAACATGCAAGCAGATTATTTGGCGTGATTCCTTGTTGTGGGGGCGCTGGAGCACAGGAAATAAGAAGAAGCTGATGGATTATGTTTATTTTAAGGTGTTTGATCGCACTTGCTGATGGTCTAGGTGGTGCGGGTGTGCAAACTTGCCCGTTGTCAATAATGAGCTGCAGTCAGGGTCATTTATTTAGCTTCGAGAAGGGATTCATCGATATAAAATAAATTCATTCGGAAATCCTGTGGTCTCTCCGCCGCATATATCAGTCCACATCACAGAGCGTACGTATCTTTGACCAGTTATGCATGCGATTAATCGGCAGCTAGCATGTTTAGCAACTGAGCATTATCTGAAGAACGCAGGCGAGCTACGATGGTGTCCACCTCTTGCTCGCGTTTGCTGTTTTCCGGAGCGGTCCAGGTTTGATCGGCTTGCAGACGATAAGCTCCAAAAAATGAGTAAGGACAGCGGCCGCCCCATTCCTAACGAAAATTAAGAGTGAGCAAGTCGTTTGAGGACGACCAACCTCTGGAGAAATTAGTGAGAGGATTTTCTCGCCAGTACGCGGCTTCTCATAAAAGTAGTAGAGCTTTCCGGGTTTCTTTACTAAGTTGCAGGCAGCGCTGTGTAGCTCAGTGTTCAATTTAGCGTCTTGCAGTATTTTTATGGCTCTTTCCTAAACCCAATTATCGGTGTGGAAAGATATATTTTACCTTGAGAACAAGCATCTGTTCCACAACCTCTCGTAGCTTAGTATTGGTGGTGGCGTTCATTGCATCACAGGCGTTCTGAACGGCTACTGCCAGTTCCACAAGATCTGCACTGCTGGAGATTTTCGTTCTTCTAAGTCGGTCCAGGGCTACTCTATCTTGGAAGTCTTCAGAATCCATTGGTAAAGACATACCTGGAGAAATCAGGAAAGATATTTTACTGGCAGTGCTATATTTAACTAGCTTCCGTCAGCTACTAACATGTATATATAAGACATAAGTACGATGCGCAACCCTTAAAGATGACTTCATTGACCAAAAAAAATAGTGAGACGCTGGTTACTGACCTTGAACAGAGTCATTCAACCCCGAATACTGGGCACATGCAATCAAAGCTGTTGGGTGACTCTCATAATCAAATGGAATTAAAAAGGTCAAAGGCCATTAAATCCGTCTGAAGGTGAGGTGTATAGAGGAATTCCGTTTTCCTTAAGTATAATATGTTGAATTCAAAGTGGAAATTGTCAGACCTTTCGCATATACCAGCTGCTGAAACAACTAGCATGTACGAACAGCATGATAATACAAGACTGTAGAACAGTTTCAAATGAAAATATGCAATTCAGTAAACATGTTATGGAAGGCAGATGATCGCTCCAACTGACTCCGTCTAGCCACTGTCTCGCCTCCCCTATCGCGCACACAACGAACGACAGCTGAGAATCCCGGGACAAGCTAATCTATGCTGGACCACGTTAAATAGTACTGACGCACTACCTCCAACCCGAACACAGCGAACAACAGTTGAAAATCCCGAAACACGTCTGCACACAGTACATCACCCGTCACACTGAATCGCCAACCCCTCCCCTTCCTAGACGCAGAGCCGTAGCAGTGTTCACCCTCCTCCCCCCGCTCCAACTTCTACCGCAACTGTGTGTCCACCGCCTCTCCCTCCATACATTGCCTGCACGCCTGTCCTTGTCTGTCCTGTCGCACCAACTGGCTTTAACTGGCTATTTCAATTTCTCCTTTTTTCATTTATTCTGACGACGGGTAAGTCTACCTGCTTGAAAGTTCACAAGTATATCTTTTTTTTCCGACAAGCCTTTCATCATATGTATTGAGAGAGAATATCGCAGTCTACAAGTCAACGTTTCGTTTCTTGGAACTTTCAATCGAGGATGACTCCTGTAGCTTCGTACCAGCTGCTTGGTCACGAGGGGATATCGTTAACTTGCTCATCCGGGACAGACATTCTTTGATACAGTTGCTTGCTGAGTTCAACACTCCAAGAACTTAATAAGGGTGAGGGTAGTATATTACGAATGTAACACAAAACGTATAACTGGAGGAGGTGAGATTAACTACAATAGTGTCGAATGAACTGTAGAAGTCCAAGGATGATAAAAAGAGGGTTCACTCCTGGGATTGGACGGAAGAACCTCCATTGCGTCTGTCTCCTTTGCGTTGTTTCCTGCTGAAGAACGACAAAAAGCCGCTTCTGTTGCTCGTCCCCATGGAGCTCTGTGCTGAGTCACGCACACGATTCAAAAGTGGAGCCGTTACATACTCCCCTCCGCAGGGCGGTCTCCTCTCTAACTGGTACGGATACTAAGCTTGAGGGAACAATAGGAAGTGAAGAGTCTGTGGCGGTAGGTAGTCGGCCCGGGAATGGCTTAAGATTACCAAAATGGATGTTTGACGATGGGTTATCCGGCATGGATGCGTCACGGAGAACACAAGTAGTAGGATGGTGAACATTCCCGATACCATATGGCCTTCCCAAGGGTAGCAGAATTTGGCTGAAGTACCCAAAGATGGGACCGGTCCGTAGCACCACACCAAATCACCCAATTGATAGGGTGTACCATTGACTTGTCTATCGAAATAAACAAATTTCTATCCGCCGCAGCACCTAAGTGTTCGCGTGCAAGGTTGTAAGTAGACCGAAGGAGTTCCTGGAGTTTCCAAACGTATGCGCCCGGTGTGTATTCGGAGGGTATTTTAACTGGTAAACGAGAATATAAGGGTAACCGGAAATGGCGCCCCGTGAGCATAAAGAATAGGATGTATCCGGTCGAAGAAAGTTCCGCGGCACGATAAGCCATCATAGCACATGGGAGGCGTTTATCCCAACTATGGGAGTGCGTCTCTTCCTCAAATGCCTTCAAAAGTTGAGTGAGTGGCCATTTCCCTCCGGGTGTCCGGGAGTCGTTCGGATCTTGTACATGTGGAGCTGATCGCACAACTTATGTAACAGTCAGCTTTCAACGTTTGCTCCACAATCGGAGTGGATAGACAAAAATGTTCTGAAACGGCAAATCCAATTGTTAAACAGGGCTGTTGTCACAGAAACTGCATCCTGTCGTAGAAGGGGTACCGCGTATGCCCATTTGGTGTAGTAATTGACCATGATGAGGATAAATCGATGTGGTGAACGGAAGGAGACTGACAATATCCAGGCAAAAACGTTGAAACGGAAAACTGGTAGACATGTTTTGCAGCGGGGCTCGTGGGCGCTGGTTGGGGGACTCGATGGCGGCACTCATGCCACAGATGTTGCAGAAAGTAGCGATTTGTTGGTTAAGTTTCGGTTACCAGAATTTTTGACGAGCTGCTGCTTCATTCAACATGGTCCAGTTCGCTATGTAGGTCTGTGAGCACTGAAAGGATCAGGCTGACCGGGACGACTACTCGACTGTTACGGATTACCTCGTCTCGCAGGAGCAAAATTTCATTCTCCATGAGGCAAGACCACTGGTTACGGATAGCGTAAGCTACCTCAGAAGAACCGTGTAAATCGCTGTACTTGCCAATGCTGAGCGCGAGATAGGTGGTCATAAACTATTGCAGTGTCGGGGTCGGTGCTGTGGGCAACCACTCAATGGTGCCGGGTTGTTTCACTAGCATAGACTGCATTTAAAGAATCTACATTAGAAGGAAGATCCATAAATTAGTGTTGGGGGGCGGGATTCCAGAGAGAGTGTCAGCATTAGCATGTTGTGTCCCGGCTCAGTAAACGCAAGTAAACGAGTACTCTTGTAAAATCTCCTGCTAGCGCGCCAGTTGGCCTTCTGCGTCTTTCGTATTTTGTAACCACTGGAGGGTCTTATGGTCTGAGCGCACCACAAAGGGTTCGCCAAGGAGATATGGGTGGAACCGCTTAACGAATGTTATAATAGCTAATAATTCGCGACGATAGGTGCAATAATTTCTTTCTGGTTTCAATAGTCTTACTACGGAAACAAATGGGTTCCTTCTTACCCTTGTCGTTGACTTGCGATAATACAGCTCACATCGCGAAAGCGCTGGCATCCGTATCTAAGATGAAAAGCGACGCATCTGCTGCCATGTTAAGTAGTGAGAGCACAGGTAATGTAGTGAGGCGGGATTTTAGATCCTCATAACAGTCCTCGGAACAAAGGAATTCACGTCTTTTCTCCATGAGACGATGTAGAGGTCGCGCTATGCCCGTGAAATTGAGGATAAAATATCGATAGGAAAACGTAAGGCGTTTAAATTCTCGAATTTCGGTGGAATTTGAGGATGAAAGCCAGCAGCGGATGGCGTATATATTCTCTTCGGACACGCATATGCCGGTAGCTGAGAGTTCATGGCCTAGGAAGGTTACCTGACTGCGTAGGCAGTGGCATTGTTTGGGTTCAGCCGCAGACCCGCCTCGCGAAGGGCTACTAACACAGCACGTAGGTTTTCATTTAGCTGTTCGATCGACCTGCCGAAGACAATATTTCCATCCAGGTAAATAAGGCATTGGCGAGGGTAGAGATGGGCCAAAAAGACTTGCATTAACCATTGCAAAGTGATAACCGGATTGCAAAGGCCAAGGGCATCGCCTCGAACTCAAACAGTCCTTGTGGTAGGATAAATGCCGTCTTTTGGCGATCCGTTGGTTCCAGCTCTACTTGCCAGTAACCTAATAGGTAAAACCACTTCGACCGGACTAGCGAATCAAATATGCACTCAATGTGTGGCAGTGGGAATGAATCACGAGTCGTGAGTACATTGACGCGCCTGTAGTCAATACAGAAACGCAATTTATCATCCTTTTGAGGAACCAATGTAACAGGGGATGTCCATGGAGAAAGTGATGGCCTGATGACACCGTTCGCTAGCATGTTATCCAAGGGGTCACGGATCTCACCTTGATACTAGACTGGGATTCGCCGATTGAGGTTGCCAGACAGGTTTGGCTGTGCCGGTGTCGATGGTGCGACGAATGTGATTCGTCCCACTGAGGGAGTAGTCGTCCCAAGCGAAAATGCCTTGGAAACCCAAAAACAAACGTTTAAGGACCACCCGACTGGAGCCTTCTGCGAACTGTTGTGACAGGATATAATCGATCCACGTTGGTGGTATTCTAACCGGCTCCTTGATAGCGGCGCAGATAGCTATTTCGTCAAATGCAGGGGGCTGCTGTTCTTGTCCAACGGCCGCAGAAGAGAATTTCATTGTCCGTCTTTTAATGTTAATGTGGCAGCCATGGTTGGCAAGGCAGTCGACTCCTAAGATCACATCCTATGTAGAACGAAGCAAAATTAGAAATGGGTGTTTGACTGTGGCGTGTGGAAGCGCTACGTGAACTGTCACAATAACCGTATGTCTTATATAAAGGCCGTTTGTTGAAGTAAGACTCATTAACGGGCAAGAACTTCTTTAGAACGTGCTTCCAGCACCGCAACAAACACTTGCTGATCTGGTACTCCAACGACGGCCATACGGCCAGTCAGATTAACTATATTTTAGTCAGCTCACGATTCCGCAGCTGGGTTCATGATAGTCGGTCGCTGCGTGGTGCTGAGACTGG